GGAGTTTCACTCAACCATAAAGAAGGATGAAATTATGGCATTTGCTGGTAAATGGATAGAACCAGAGAACATCATGCTAAGTGAAATAAGCCAGACTCAGAAAATCAAGGTCGAATGTTTTCTCTCATATGAGGACCAAAAATAAAGGGGAAAAAGGGTGGAGGGAATCCCATGAGAGTGGAAGGGAGATCAGTGGAGTAGGAAAGGAGGATTGAAGGGGAGGGGGATGGGAAAGGAAAAGGAAGGAATGGTGGAATGAATCTGACCAAACTTTCCTGTGTACATATATGAATACACCACAGTGAATCTCACCTTTATGTATATCATAATGGCACTAATTTTAAAAAAAACTATAAATAAATAGAAGAAAGATCAGTAGAGTGGAGAAAAGGGAACAGGGGGAGGGAAAGGAGTAGTACCAGGGACTGAATAAGAGCAAATTTTATTCCATGTTTGTATAAAATTATGTCAAGATGAACCCCAATAATATAATGTATAATGAAACTGAACTAATGAAAAGTAAGACTAACTGTTTAAGATCTGTGTCTGAATCCATCCAGGCTTCTATAATAAAATGTCATAAATTGGATAGCTTATAAGCAGCAGAATTTATTGCCCACAGTTCTGGAAACTGGGAAGTGGAAGAATCAGGCTTCTGCCAATTTAGTGCTTTCTGATTCACAGAAGGCCATTACCGAGTCTTCATATGGTGGAAGGTTGGGGGTCTTTTGGCCTTTTTATTACAGCCCTAATCCTATTCATGAAGGCCCTGCTCTCAGGGGCTAATCACCTTCCAAACCCATTGGCATGATGATAAAGATTTCAGCATATGAATTTGGGAGGAATATCACCATTTAAGACCATAGCCCTCTGCACTGAAGAAGTGAAATGCACTGGATAGAAACACACATGCTATACGATCTCTTGTTTTATTCTATAACCCGAAAGAAAAACATTTATTCACTATTCTGGCATAGTTGAGAGACTGGAAAGCAACAACATTGAGGGCAGTTCAGTGGCAAAATAAAATAACAAGTGTCCAATAATCGAATCTCAAGACCCTAAAAACAATAACTGAACACTAGAAAACAACTTTGGAAATGCCAAAAGACTCACAAATAAGGAGGAGAGAAGGGGACAACTCGGGGAGGGAGAGGAGGAGGAACAGGGGGCTTCTGCTTCCATGGTAAACTTCAAGGCTAAATTCCAAGATTTCCAATAAATCTATGGCAATCAAGAAAATGGTACAGGTAAGAAACACATATATATGCAACTATTGTGTATAACTATACTGCACTAAAAAAGCATTTTAAAAAAAGAAATACACGTATACATCAATGGAACATAATAATATAAAAGGAGACTACAGATACTTAATTTTACTTTAGACAAAAGAACTTAGACAAAATAATTCAAAAGGGGGAAAATGGTGCTAGAAAAAATATCTATAAATAAATATCAACCCTTACCTCAAACTATAAGAAAAAATTCACTCAAAATGGATCACAGACATAAGAGTAAAATTCAAAATTATAAAACTTTTAGGATAAAAATTTATTTTTGATTTTGCGAGAGCAGTCTTTTCATAGGTAGTTCAAAAACATCAGACATAAATGAAAAAACGAATATAATGAACTTCACTAGATTTAAAAACATTATTAGGCAATGTTTAAAAATGAAAATAAAAGCCACAAACTGAGAAAATATATTTGCAATAAATGTATCCGATGAAGGAGTTGTATTCAGAAACCTAAAACATTATTAGGCAATGTTTAAAAATGAAAATAAAAGCCACAAACTGAGAAAATATATTTGCAATAAATGTATCTGATGAAGGAGTTGTATTCAGAGTAAGAATTCTTATAACTTCATGATTAAAGAGTAGGGCAACCCAATTTTTTAATAATGGTCAATCTATTTGAACACATATTTCATAAATAAAGATACAAATGGCCTCTGTTTATGAAAAGATATTTAATGTAACTAGTCCTAATAAACATTAATTTAATATGTATATTAAAACCATAATGATTACCAATTATACATCTCTTCAAATGGCTATAGTTAAACTGATATTGTCAATGTTTGTGGAGATATGGAACAATTGGAACTCTTGATACGTCATTGTACATTGTTGGGAGTGTGAAATCGGACAATAACTTTGGAAAACATTTTGGGAAGTTTCTTATATGACTGAATATACATTTTTCTATAAGATGCTGTAATTCCACTTAAAACAAATGAAACATGCTCACACAAAAACTTATACCTGAACTAGTGTTTTCTACTTGAAAACACTAGTCCAAATCTGTAAGGAATCCAATGTCTATCTACAGTTGTATAAACAAAATCTGGGGCATTAGCACACTAGAGTTTTAGTCACTAGTAGGTAGCTTTCAAAATAGCTCCTAGTGATCCCAACTTTCACTAGTCAGAGCCTTGTGTAATTCTCCCCTCTTTGAGCAATTTCTCAAATGAAATATCTTGTTGAGGGATGTCATTTCTGTGAAGACATTACTAATAATTGTATGCTTGCTATCAGAATCTCTCTCATGTTAGTTTGTGGGTTTTGTTTTGTTTTTTTTTTTTTTTTGGTTTTTGTTGTTGTTTTGGTGCTAGGGATCAAATCTGGGTCGTGTGCCTACTTAGCTGGCACTCTTCCATTGAGCCACTTCCCAGTCCCTCTCGCTAATTTGGATGAAGCGAATTGCCATCTCGGGAAGGTCCACATGGGAAAAAATGAGGAGGAACTCTGGATGACAACTGCCTGATATCTGAGGCCACAAGCCACAATACACAAGCAAAGTCTGGGGCATGGTGGTGCACACCTATAATCCCAGCGGCTCAGGAGGTTCAGGCAGGAGGATCATGAGTTCAAGGCCAGCCTCAGCATATTAGTGAGGACTTCAGCAACTTAGTGAGACCCTGTCTCAATAAAAAAAAAAAAAAAAAAAAGGATGTGGTTCAGTGGTTAAGTGCCCCTGGGTTCAATTCCCAGTACCAAAATAAAAGCAAGTGAGTCCTACAAACCGTGACATCAAGTTAAGATGGAAGTGGACCTTCCCAAGTTGACCTTCCTTGCTGAAAGTCCTGTATGATACCTTGTTTGCAGACTTGGAAGCGACCCTGAATCAGAGAGCTCATGAAAGCCAGGCCCAGATTCCTGACCTAGAGAAAACTATAAGTATGTGCTATTTTAAGAGTCTGGATTATTGGTGATTTGTTACGAAGTAAAACAGTAACTAAACACTCACCAACAAAAAGGAACAATTCAACGGTAAACCCCAAGTAGTAGTTTTCTGTTAGTTCTCTGTTGGTGCACGACAGATCACCACAAACTCAGCAGCTGCAAGAGGTGCTCATTTATTCAGTCACTGTGGTGTAGGTCAGAAGCCTGGGCATGGAAGAGCCAAGTTCCCTTCTCAGGTCTCAACAGGTCTTCCATCTCATCGGAGGTTCAAAGTCCTCTCTTCTTTACGTGGTTACTGACAGAATTCAACTCCTTAGGGTTGTAAGACCGAGGTCCCTGCTTTCTTGCTGGTTGTCACCAGGGAGTTGTTCTCAGCTTCCAGACATCACCTAGTCTTCTCTCCAGCAAGAAGATTCTCTCCTTAAAATCCACCAGTATGGGCTGGGCGCGTAGCTCAGTAGTAGAGCTTTATTTGGCACACAGGAGGTGCTGGGTTCCATCCCTGACACTGGAGGGAGGGAGGGAGGGAGGGAGGGAGGGAAGGAAGGAAGGAAGGAAGGAAGGAAGGAAGGAAGGAAGGAAGGAAGGAAGGAAGGAGAGAAAAGCCAACAGCAGAATTTCTCCCATACTTCAGATATCCCTAATTTCTTCTAAAGACTCACCCAAGAAAATATCACAGCCCTAAACCTGTTAGGGACTTTAATTACCAGATGATTCCACTTTTTAAAAATCTCTAGGAAAGACAAATATCATCTTCAATAATAAAGAGCAGATCAACAAGTACCAGGACACAGAGATGGAGTCTTGAAAGTGACACAGGCATTTTATGGGAAAAGGGAATTACACACTTTGATACTAATGCTGGTTACAAAGATAAGTAACACTATTGGACCTCAGTAAACTGTAGGCTTAAAATATGTGCATAGTGTGTGTCAATAAAGGTCATTAAAAGTAAACAGAGGGGCTGGGGTTGTGGCCCAGTGGTAGAGTGCTTGGCCTAGCATGTGTGAGGCACTGGGTTCAATCCTCAGCACCACATAAAAAAATAAATAAGCAAAATAAAGGTATTGTGTCCATCTACAACTAAAAAAAAAAAAAAAAGTAAACAGTCAGCCAGCCACAGGACTTTTGCTTCACTATCATCTTGTAACTGTTACATAAAAGCATCTAATTGGCTGAACTTCACCTACAAAAAGGAATGATCTAACAATGTACACAGAATCCCAGCTGGGTCTTCTCACCCCCAAACCTAGCTGCAAAGGAATCTAGCAAATGCAATTTTAGTTGTAGTTTCAGGTTTCACAAAAAGGAGTGGCCACTGGAAGGGAAATGTAGAGATGCTGAGCTGAGCCTGGTCCTTCAGTGCAAGCCTGAGCATGGATTAGCTGAGTTCCTTTCTTAGGTCCTGCCAGTATATTCAGTAGGTCAGAATTACCATATCACACACACTCACATATATGTGTACATGCGTACACATATGTATCATGCTCCCATGGACCAACACTATACTCAGGGACACTGAAATAAAATTTATTAAATGAAGCAGAATCTACTGATGAGACCCCAGAAAAGAGAATTCTTCTTATTGATATATACAGCATATATATATATTATTAATACATATAGCGTATATAATATATATTATATTAACTATATGATATATATTATATTAATAATATAATATATGCTGTGATTACAGGCATGCACCACCATGCCTGACCATAGAATTCTTAATAGAAAAAAATAACACATATATAGGACCTATATTATATTTTAAATAACAGAATTTTCCTTTTTTTTTTTTTTTTTTTTGGTGGGAGTGTGGAAATTGAACCCAGGACCTCACACATGCTAAGTACACACTCTACCACTAAGCTACACCCCTTTCATTTTTTTAATATCAGCTAGATTTATAAGGCATAAATTTCTCCAATAATCTCTACTTAAGTACTAGGGGTGGAAGGGGGAGGGCATGAATCAGTTATTCTCATGGCCAAATAATTCTCTGAGATGAAAAGTGGGGCATTTTCTCTTCCAGTCATAAGCATATATACTTAGGTATAAAGAATAAAACATACAAATTAATGAGATTTTCAGCATGTGTGGAAGGAGTTTCAGATGATGAACTGCAGGAGCCTACCACTTGAGAGCCACTGACACAACAAATTGTATAATAGGACAAAGAACAACATTTAAACAAACTGTCAGTGCTCATTGATTGTGTTTCTGCAATGTGTATCATATCCAGAGAAAAATAAAATTTAATTAAAGCAATGTGTTGTTGTAGAGTGGATTATTTGATTTTTGCCAAAGCCAGAAATACACATTAAATCATTGTTATCCAGAAAAATTACATCTCTAAGACAACTTTTCTGGGTTCTTTGATCTCAGAAAAAACTAATAAAGAAATAAACAAATTATTAAATACTCGCTTATTTTAATAAAGGATCATTTCATTGAAGACACAGGATGAAATAATTTCCAAACCAAAAAGTTCAGTTAATGTAGACTCCAGGGCAGCTGATTAAGTCTGAAAAAGTCTGTTTAGAAAAACCAACAATGCATAACATGTACAATTATAGGTTAACAAAAACTAAAGTACATTTTAAAAATCAACAATGCAGTTAAGTGCAGCTGTTCTCCTTATCAGAAAGTACAAGTAGTAACAGATGAAAGGGAGAAACACAATTAAATTTGTTGAGGAAAACCAAGAAGGGTTTGAAGGAAGCCCAGCACAGTGGTGCATGAACATCTTTAATCCTGGTGATTTGGGAGGTTGAGGATCACGAGTTCAAGGCCAGCCACGGCAACTTAGCAAGACCTGTCCCAAAATAAAAAAAATAAAGGACTTGGGGTATACTCAGGGGTAGAGTGCCCCTGAGTTCAACCCCCCAGAACTGAAAGAAAATAAGAAAAAGGTATGAGAAGGAGTGAGATCATGATTGACAACTTTATTGAAGATCACCCTGGATTTATAAGGCAAATAACTGTTAGTCAACTTTGGGAAACAGTGTAACAGTTTTTTAAAACATACACTTGCCCTATAACCCAGTAAATTCTCAAGAAAAAGGAAAATATAGGCCAATGTTTACATGGGTGTTCGAACAGTGTTGTTCATAATAGTGCGAAAATGTAAAATCTATTCGCCTTTATTCATAGTAGCAAAATGTTAATAATAAATAAAAACCATACAGGGCTGAAAGAATGAAAATCAGCCTGGAGCAAGAAAGAAAAGAAGCCATTCTGTCATTTTTCAGGAGAGGAAGAAAGATGCAGATCAAACCAGCTACAGGGTTCATAGGGAATGTCATTTCCCCCCAGATCATAGAGCAAAAGTAAAATACACACGGCTGCTGTCTTCCCAGACACACCTTGCACACCGCATCCTTCAATGGGTACCTGATGACTAATGGCCCATCTGCTGACTGCACCCACTCCCTACTGAGTCCCCACATCTCCAAATCTCCCCTCAAAAACAGCTGATTGAAAGCTGATCGCAGCTTCCCTGTGTCCCCGGCATTCCATGGTTCCTCGTGGTGCCTCCCTCACTGGGCAACCTGACAGACTACACACTTGTTCCCGGCACAACTACACCCCCGGTTGATCAGGCTCTCCCAATAGCCCAACCCTGGAAAAGAAGCACTTCAAAGGTGGATGGATAAGCAAACTTGTGTTCTAGTCATTCAGTGGCATACTACTCGGCAACAAAAAAGGCTACTGACATACACAACGATATGGATCATGAAGAAAGGCATAAAACATGTACTCGTTATTCAATTCACATGATTCTAGAAGAAGCATCATCAATGGCTGCTATGGACCAAGGTCGTGGAGTGAGATTGACTACAACCAGCACCAGGGAACTTCTTGCGGGAGGAATGGAGCGAGGTGGGGATGTAGCTCAGTTGGTAGAGTACTTGCCTACTATTTGCAAGGCCTAGGTTCCATCCCCAGCACCACAAAAAGTAAAAATAAAAAGAGGAATGAAGTGGTGCTGGAGGGATGTGGCTACACATTTCCTAAGTGGTCAACCTGCATGATTAGCATGTGTTAGTATTATTATAGGGATGTCATCCTTCATTTAAGTTTAGCAAAAGAGCATGCTGTAGGTGTGGATCCAGGGTTGAGGTGGTTTGCAGTTACCCAGAGAGACTTGAAATATAACCTGATTTACCTTTTTTTATAAAAAACAAAACATTGCTCTCCATAAGATTTCAATTAATGTAAATGCAGAATGTTAATTGGTCCCTACTGCACTAAATGGAATTATCCCTGTTATCAGAATTATTGATCATAACGCCCCTGTCAGGATAAGGACACCTGGGGGATGTGACCTGGTCTGCACTCCCAGGGGGTTACCCATAAAGGGGAGATGCGAGCTTCCCTGAGCTTCCAGTGGGTGGCCCCATCCTTTTGCTTCTTGTGGGCCTGCCTCGTTGAATGGAGAGGCACAGAGCTGCTCTTGAGATGTTGCCAAATCTCCTTATGCAGAGGCCTTTAGGGCTAGCGTGGACTGAGCCACCACAGAGGATGTTGTCCCCACGGTCCTGTGGTGTGGTGCAGTTCAGTGCACCACAACTTCAGGAAACTATTCATTGCATGTTCTGCTCCTCAAAACAGTTCAGTCTCTTTATGTCAAAAAGTTTCAATAGCAGGCTGTTGCTGAACTCCAGGGGAAGGTACTGGTGTTTCCCGGACATTACATTAACTCCCCATCAATCCTCTTTGCTCTTATTGCCCACGACTGCTTCTTTACTGCAACACATGCACTTTTGATGCATTTAAAAGAGCAAGACCGGCTCTGGCAACTGGGCAACCATCGCTACACACGCTCCTCACGACTAGATGACTGGCAGACTTCCATGTGTTCATAGCCACAAGGCGCACAGGACTCCTGAGTGGGCCCTCTTCACCCTGCAATGCCATGGTGGCAACACCTGCAGATCTCCCACAGGAGAATCCAAGTATCAGGCAGAGGTGCCGACAGTGAACAAGATGAGTGCTCTGTGGAGCAGCACTTGCTGGGGCACCAGAGTGTTATGGGCCGGGCTACTCGGGCAATGACCAAACAAACTCCGTGTCATATAGGAAATGTTTCTCTCAGAGGAAAACTCTGCCTCTGCTCTCCTGAGCCTGCTTAGCACACTCTGCTTATGTTTCTGTTCTTCTTATACAATGTAAAATTGTTCTCTTTTTGGGTCCAGTTTTTCTTGGACAATGTACCCTGTCAGAGAATGATGATCTAGACATTAGAAACTATTCTTTAACTTGTACCCAAATAGAGTCATTTTGACCCATTTCCCCTCCTGCTTATGATTTTACATCTCATGATGTTTGTTTATGGTTTTGAATCATAGCAACAGCCACTTACGATTAATGTGGTTTTAGACCACGTTAATGTGTGCTCTACACTTTGGAGGGGGGTCTAAGGGTGTAGATTTGCAACCTGCCCCTTGGCCCACCAGCTGGTGAATAAAGATGGTTCCATCTCCTGCTTTAAGATCAACTGGGTGACTTACTGCAATCTTGCTATAACAAGAGGGCACTTCATCTTTTCTCCCTCGGCTTATTTCCAAACCCAAGCTAACAGAAAAGCTTCCAACTCATTCTGACTTTGAAGGGAAAACACTTCTGGTGTTTTTTTTTTCCCCCAACAATAATCCTAACTTACCTGAAAACATGGGAGAAAGCATCACAAGAAATTCTCATGTGGTTTGGAGACAGCCTCACCTGGATCAGAGTAAAGGTCCAGCATTCCTAATTTGAAAATCCAAAATCTGAAATGCTACAAAATCCAAAACTCTTTGAGGAATGACATGACACCACATGTCATTCTTGCCTGACCTCATGTTGCTGTTAAAACTCAGGCACAGTAGCTCAGTGGTAGAAGGCTCACCTAGCAATCATGAGGCTTTGGGTTTGACTTCCCACACCGCAAAGAAGAAAAGAAAAAAGAAAAAGCTAGTCACTAAGCAACTCAACGAGTCTCTAAATAAAATTCGAAATAGGGCTGGGGATATGGCTCAGTGGTAGAGTGCCCCTGAGTTCAACCCTGATACCACCCCCCACCAAAAAAAAAAAAAAAAAAAAGCTTTCTGTTTTTTGTGTACTTTTGTTTTGTAGAAACAAGTTAAATGACTTCAATTAAACATCAAAATGTATAAAAATTTAAATCTTTCTAATTCATGCCCTCAGTGATTCTTCCTAACTCCGAAACTACACAGTCATCAGAATAAAATGGAACTTAGTCTTCAAGATATTTTTTATTATTTATTCTTTTTTCTTTGACAAATAAAAATTCCTTTTATTTAAAAATACTACCTTACAAAATAATTACATATTTTCACTGAAATGATCCCCCCAAAATATATACCAAAACTGTTATTTTTGAGAACTGAGATTTTAAGAAAAATGATTGCCCCTTTCTATTTTATTTTAAGATGTCCTTACATGTATACTGCTTCTGAAATTTTAAATAGATCTTTAAATGGCTTTCAGAATTTCTTTTTCAAAAACCGTCTCCAACATTCAACTTCACTTCACTGTTTTGCATGAGAAATGAAGTAAAATCTTAAGATGGTGTGAAACAGTTCCACACTGCATTTCCCAGCCACAGTGAAGGGCCTCTTTTCACAGAGGGGCACTTTTCAAGGCCTGAAGCATGCAACAACCACAACTTGTTCAAGATAAAAGGTGGACACTTGGTGTCATGAAATGGGGGTGGGGGTGGGGAGTTCTGTGCTAATTATCTATCCAATATGACTTATGCAGCAAGTGAGTGATTATTTAATTCACAAATGACTTGCAAGCTCAAACATAGTTCAAAAACTATCAAATCTTCTTATAATTTTATTCAGATTTATATTCCAAGTGTGATGGAATATTACCAAGCCACAAGTATTTGCAGAGTCTAGTTAATCTGTGCTCAACACTGGATTATGCAAATAAGCTGAATCACATCCCATAATAGTAGTGACAGAAATAACATCTACCAGTTTTCTGCTTCTGATGAATTTCTCATTTCCAAATCACTTAGATCTACACAGCTTCTCTTCTGTCCAGTCTGACTTGCATCTAAGCATTATAGTGACAAGTGACGAGTTCATCGAAGCTCTTGGTGTCACCTCCTCACGTCTGAGAAGACCTATTCCTGCCCTGAGAAAGGAGCCTCACTGGAGATAAGCCAGGGAGTAATGCTTTGAAGTGATGGAATGACTTCATTTCTTTAAGTAGCTTTTTCAAATTTAAACTATTTGTTAACCCGAAAGATCTTCAGTGTTCTTTTTTCTTCTGGCAATCTTAAAATTTTAGCAATTTAGAAAGTGCTCATGCAACTTTATGGGTCGTTTTTTTCCACCCTGCTTCTAATAGAAGAAAAAGTAGGCCCAAATCTCCATCATATCGGATTAGGCCCTTATTTCCTTAATAAGACTCCTATAGCACAAGAATTAAAATCAAGAATTAATAAGTGGGATGGATTCAAACTAAAAAGCTTCTTCTCAGCCAAAGAAACAATCAGTGAATAGAGAGATTAATAGAGAGCCTACAGCTTGGGAACAAATTTTCACCACTTGCACATCAGATAGAGCACTAATCTCTAGAGTATATAAAGAACTCAAAAAGCTAAACATCAAAAATAATAATAATAATAATAACCCAATCAATAAATGGGCCAAGGAACTGAACAGACACTTCTCAGAAGGTGATATACAATCAATCAACAAATATATGAAAAAATATTCAATATCTCTACCAATTAGAGAAATGCAAAAAACTACCCTAAGATTTCACCTCACTCCAGTCAGAATGGCAGCTATTAAGAATACAAACAATAAGTGTTGGCGAGGATGTGGGGAGAAAGCCACACTCATACACTGCTGGTGGGACTACAAAATGGTGCAGCCACTATGGAAAATAGTTGGAGATTCCTTAGAAAACTAGGAATGGAACCACCATTTGACCCAGCTATCCCACTCTTAAAACAGCATTTTAAGTCCTTTGGGTATGGACCAAGGGACACAGGAACACAGCCACATCAATGTTTGTTGCAGCTCAATTCACAATATCTAAACTGTGGAACCAACCTAGATGCCCTTCAGTAGATGCATGGATAAAGAAACTGGTATATATACACAATGGAATATTACTCAGAAGATTTCTTAATATTTCAAGTGAGGAAAAGCCTTACAGAAAAGTAAAAAGAAAAAGAAAAAGAAAAAGAAAAATAGAAACACTATGAAGAAAAAAAAAACGATATCAAAAGTTTTAAGTTAGAAAAACCACCATTTGGCACCATTTAGCAAAACCACAGTAATAATCATTTCAGGTGAAATGCCAAAAATCAGTGGATCTAAAAGATGAGAAATAGGGTATTTTACATAATCTCAAAGTATCTTCCTATAGAACATTTACTAATTAATAAGGGGAAAGGGTAACTTTACAATGGAGAATTCTGTTAGACAACACCTTGAGCAAATGATCAAAGTTACCTTCACAAGAACAAAAGGACATCATGTGTCTCCTGATATGAAAAAAGACACAGCATTCCTTCCATGGCACTGTTGTCAAAATGCAAAATGTATTTATGAAAAGAATTGGAGAAATCTTAAATGCACTTAAGGAAAAGAAGTCAATCTGAAAAGACTGTGTTCTATATGATTCCAATTTAGACATTCTCTAAAAGGCAAAGACTACAAAGGTGTCAAAGATCAGTGTTTGTTGGGCATCAGTATGGAGGAAGGATGAATGGGTGAAGCATAAAGAATTTTTAGGGCAGTAAAACTCTTTTTGGGGGGCAGAGTACTGGGGATTGAACTAAGGGGCCCTCAACCACTGGGTCACAACCCCAGCTCTTTTTTTGTATTTTATTTAGAGACAGGGTCTCACTGAGTTGCTTATTACCTCACCATTGCTGAGGCTGGCTTTGAACTCAAAATCCTCCTGCCTCAGCCTCCTGAGTCACTGGGATTACAGATGTGCGCCTCTGTGCCCAGCAGGGCAGTGAAACTTTTGTGTTAATATAATGGTAGATACTTGTTAGTATAAATTTGTCCAAACCAACAGAATATACAACACCAAGAATGAAATTTAATGTGATCTGTGAACTTTGGGTGATAATGAGGTGTCGATATAGGTGCACCATTCTAAAAACTGGACCACTCTGGTGGGGGATATTGGTAGTGGGGAGGCTACCTATGGGTTGGGGCAGAAGGTACAAGGGAACTCTCTTGTACTTCATGCTCAATTTTGCTGTGAAGCTAAAGTGACTTTAAAAGATAAAGTCTTTTCGAAAAGATTAATAAGAGAACATGCAACTGTATTCATCGTTAAGGTAATATAAATTAAAACAATGCAATACCATGTGTCACATAATAAAACAGACAGTAATTAAAATTTTTAATGAAATCCAACCTTGGCAAGAACATTGAAAACTAACTCTGGCATACATGGAGTGTAAATCCATACAACCTATTGTGAACACAACAGAAGACCTGTAAAATGTAAATGTGCAAACTGTACATTTAGGAATAGCATCTGTACTTGCATAAGCAAAAAGCATATGTGTGCAAAGATATTATTTACTGAAGCAGTCTTTAAAGCAAAACACGAGAAAGCAACCTAAATATCTAATAACAGGAAAACTAGGGTAAGAGATCCCAGCTCACTTACCTGAGACAAAAAATTGGGACAAATACACCAGGCTAGAACCAATCCCTACAGCAAAGGATCTTACTGAAAATTTGGCTTTTTGGTGGTAAAAAATTATTTCCAACCACATTAATATTAGTATAAATATCACCACTTCCAGATTTAATTGCATTCACCCAACAGCAAAGATAATCAGCTAATCAAATTGGGCCTTAAACATATAATATGTGTAATAATGAATATACCAATATAATACAAATAGTTTTTTTGGACTGTGCCATAGACTGAATTATAACCATCTCCAAATTTGTATGTTAAGCCCTAACCCTCACCTCCCTACTAGAGATAGGGTCCTTTTTTTTTTTTTTTTGACATTTGACCAAAGTCTATTTTATTTATTTATTATTTATTTATTTATTTATTTAGAGATAGGGTCTTTAAGGAAGTGATCAAGGTTAAATGAGGTCATAAGAACATAGCCCTGAACTACTAGGCATGGTGGTGCACATCTGTAATCCCAGCTGAGGCAGGAGGATCTTGAGTTCAAAGCCAGTCTCTGCAACTTAGTGAGGCCATAAGCAACTCAGCAAGACCCTGCTCTAAATAAAACATTAAAAAGGGCTGGGGATTTGGCTCAGTGGTTAAGTGCCCCTGGAATCAATTGGTGTGTGTGTGTGTGTGTGTATCCATCCCTGAACCAACAGAGCTGGTGCCCTAATTTTAGTGGAAGAGCTGCCAAAGCTTTCTCCGTATGAGGACGCAGCAAGGTGGCAACTGTGGACAGCCAGGCAGGGAGAGTTCCCAGACTGAATGCTGACACCCTGATGTTGGACTTCCGGGCTCCAGAACTATGAGAAACACTTGTGTTGTTTAGCTACCCAATCTACGTTATTTTCTCATTGCAGCCTGATCAGACCCATGTAGACAGACTGCTTCTCACTCCCTGGAGGGATAAAGTTTTTCATCATGGAAGAGATAACACTGCTCATTTGGACCTGAGGTTAAAGCATTCAGCAAAACACTCTCAAGAAGATTAAAACACATTGGAAATTCAGAAAACGATTTTAAAAAAAAGTGTGCTCATTAATCCATAGTCAATAAGGACAGCCACAAGGGAACCGCACACATTGCACAAACCACCAGTAGTTACACAGAGGGGCTGAAGATCCTGAAGAATACAAGAAATATAAGGCCCCTTTATAATTCAACCAACACACTTGATTGGGGGCCAGGGGAACAGTGTCATCAGACTGTGTGCTCAGCCCAACATTACATTTGTCCTCTGAATACCTTAATTTGGTGATGTGATCTTCCACCATCGCCTCTCACCATCCATTCCTGCATAAGATCACAGACAACACATGGCTGCCTCGCCCATCCTCTTTGTACAAACCTGGAAATAAAAATTTAAAAGAAGGGGATCTTTGTTCACTTCCTTTCTCCTTCCAATAAATACTATATCCTGTGAGTTCTGCTTCCTTAATATATCCACAGTCCAGCTGTGTATACCTCTACCTAGGCTACTCTCTCATGTAGTGCTTAACCACTGAGCCACATCCACAGCCCATTTTATTTATTTTATTTTATTTTTTATTTTGACAGGCGCTTGCTAAGTTGCTGAAGCTGGCTTTGATCTTGTGATCCTCCTGCCTCAGTCTCCTGAGCCACTGGGATTAGAAGCATGCCCCACTGTGCCCAACTATACAATATATATTTTTTTAAGATGTCACCACCGTATTTGAAATCCTCCAATGACTGGGCCTTGGTTCAGACGATTCGCTTCCAAGGTTCTTTATGATCAGACATTCTCTACCTTTAGTTTCTTCCCACTCCCCACTCCCATGGTATGCTACGGCTAGCTCTTCTCTAACACCCACTTTTAAGTACCTCCTCTGCTCTGGCCCACTTTTTAGACTTGATCCTACTATTATGGTATGAGTTTTCTTCCAGAAAGTTCCTCACACCTGTATATGGGTTGAGCCTGGACTCTTCTGTGAACATTCTGGTCACGATGATGCCATGGTTGTAAACACCTATCCTGCTTTGTTGAAAATGATTCTCTATTCTGTGACCTTCCCATCCTCTATCCCCGGTAATGACTTCACATTTATCCTTGAAGACAAAGACCATGCTGACCTTGATCATCACTGTTGTCCGTTAGCATAGCAAAATTTCAGGCACTTGATTTAGCATTCAACAAACATTGTTCTAAAGGAATGAAGGTTTTCTTTGTTCTATCACTGAGCAACCAAAGTAAAAGAAATATTTTGAAACGTGTGTGTGTGTGTGTGTGTGTGTGTGTGTGTGTTTACCTATCCCAGGAAGATACCAAATGTGATGTGAAATGTAAATGTGATGGCATAAACAATAAACACAGGGATTTTAAAGATTCTGTCCCACTGTAGAATTCCAGCAGGTACAGGTGAGGGCCTTTCACCTGGGTGCAGACAGGAGTTATGGATTAGGAGAGAGGCAATAAGTATTCGGAGAAGGATGCCCAGGTAGAATGGCTAGAAAATCACCACGCACAAAAGGTCAAGGAACTGTGGTGTAAAGATATGTGAACTGTAGATTTAAAATGCCAAGACAGTGCTAAATTGGAGGGGTGGAGGGAACATGAGGCAGGGCATTTCTTCATCCGTGTAGAAAAGCCAGTAGAAGTTTGGCGTTAAGCCACAGGCAGGAGTCTCAAGGAAAAGGGTTAGTACACAAGATGGAGTGGGAAATGGTTTAGAAACGTCAGTAGGGTTCCAAGAGAATAGCCAGAAGGTTTTAATACTGCATAGCACATCTGCTGTGATCCCTGCCTTCCTCTGCCTACTATCAGAGCTAGTTATGACTCTTATCTCTGTACTTCAATTTTGCCAAGAGTACCAGAATGGCATCTTACTCATTTATGTCTCCTGAAGCATCTTTTTAAACATTTTTTTTTAGTTATAGGTGGACACAATACCTTTAATTAATTAATTAATTTTTATGTGTTGCTGAGGCTCAAACCCAGTGCCTCACACATGCCAGGTGAGCACTCTATCACTGAGCCACAACCCCAGAAGCATCTTTTTAAGACCTGGTCCAGGGCTAGCATGAGTGAGGCACTGGGTTCGATCCTCAGCACCACCTATAAATAAATAAAATAAAGGTCCATTGACAATTTAAAAAATATTTTTAAAAAGACCCGGTCCTGGGCTGGGGATGTGGCTCAAGCGGTAGCGCGCTCGCCTGGCATGCGTGCGGCCCGGGTTCAATCCTCAGCACCACATACCAACAAAGATGTTGTGTCCACCAAAAACAAAACAAACAAACAAAAAAAAAAAGATCCGGTCCTTAAGTATGTATTATGTTATTTATTTATTCCCAAACTTTTCCCATAGGGACTGGGGTTTACTTATAAAATATTTACTATATAATTTATAAATCAGGACCAGGAAAAAAGTAAATTACAGTGGAAAGCCAGTTGGGGGAATTAAGAAAGTAAACATGCAGACAGATTTTCTACAAGTGGTTTTTGAATTAGATTGTGACCCATCCCTTCCTATCCCCTCACACAGAGACACACTTGGGGAAGCATTCAGATTCCAATTGCAATCAAAATGATTCTTGTCCTTCTTAATTTAATTTAGTATATTACCTTCCCAAAATTCTCTAATATACAGATCTTAATTTCAAAATTATTTCGCAAAACAAACAGGATATTCTGCATCATAGGTAAAGCACAGCTACTACCATGAAGAAGTCTTTTAATCAATTTCAAAGAATTGTTTGTATCACTCCATTTCAGGGAATCTGCCTTTGTGTCCTTGTTTATAAAAACCTCTGGCTCACTTCTCTGTTTTCAATTAACCTGAGACAGAAACAGTCTTTATTTGGCACAAATGGAACAAAACCAAAAATACACCTATATGAAATAATTTTCTTATAAGGATGAAAGCACAGGATATAAGAAACCCAAGAAATAGGCATAATAGTAAAATGAGTAAAGAATGTGTCTTCTGGGGTTGGGGATGTGGCTCAAGCGGTAGCATGCTCGCCTGGCATGCGTGTGGCCTGGGTTCGATCCTCAGCACCACATACAAACAAAGATGTTGAGTCTACCGAAAACTAAAAAATAAATATTGAAATTCTCTCTCTCTTAAAAAAAAAAAAAAGCCTAAGGCTTGAGACTTAAAAAAAAGAAGAATGTGTCTTCTGATGGGAAGTCCTGAAGCTAATAAAGAAAAGGTTAATTACAATAAAATCATCCCTGAAATGAATTTGTCTAACTTGATTGCTTTAGTCTTGATATAAATTCTTTTCTATTATCCTAAAGCGAATTCATTTTTTCTAGTAACCATTATCAAGGGTCTTTCTGTCCTGCTTCATTTGTATTTTTCTGTAAATGCACTTATTTCACTCACAGGCAAGTTAAAAATATGATGTTTATTCATTTATTTTTTTCTGCCTTATATTTAAAATGTGAATACCTTTTACTATCAAATAAAGACAGTTCACATAATTTTGTATGTATGTAATAAATGCTCTGATAATTACAAGAAACAAAATAAGGCACAGGGATTCTAGCTCAGTGGTACATTACTTGCCTAGCAGTGCAAGGCCCTGGGTTTGATCTCCAGCACTGGGGGGAGACAAAGGACAAAAGGAAACCAAATATGAAACAAGAGACTTTAGCTTATTGCCAACAGAAAATAGTACGTATCATAAATAACATTTTAGAGGTAAACTCTAAAGAGATCAATTCCAAAGCCATGTTTTGAAGGCACCACTGCACCCATAATTTTTATGGTTAAATGTTCCAGGACTAGATAAAGTGGAGGGTAACTGAAAGTAAGCTCCAAGTTCAAGGCCACCGCTAACCAATAATGGAGCATTTAGACCCTTGAACAGTGGCTAGTGCAATTGAGACATGCTATTTCCTCAAATGCTGACCAGATTGAAGACAATATAGGGGAAACCCATTTCATTATCCTATTTTTAACTTGATTGCATATGGAAATATGTCTTTTATATATTGGATTAAGCAGAATATGTTCAAATTAATGTCACCTTTTTCTTTTTACCTTTTAATGTAGGTACTAGGAAACTTTTAATTATATATGTGGTTTACATAACATCACTATTCTACACTGATGCCACAATATTTTTGGACTCAGGCCTTGGCTTTAGGACTAGATTCCTACGTTGGATCTCAGAAAATGATACCCCAAAATATGCCGCTTTGAACTTCAAACTGTGCACCTGGGGAGCAGCATGTGTAGAGAAGGGCTTCTCAGTGAAGACCCATTATTTACGTAAAGAGTAAAGACCTGATCAGGGATCTGGTATCATAAATAACATTTTAGAGGTAAACTCTAAAGAGAACAATCCCAAAGCCATGTTTTGAAGGCATCAGGGTAGTCCCTCTCCTGTGATGCGCATAGGAAATGCGCTTGCCTTTCCTTCTGATAATTTATCTTCTGCCGGTTCATTTATCAGACTCAAATACTCCAAAGGGAAAGAGAAAGTTCGTTTGCCTCTACACCTACAGATGAGGATCATAGGATGTGTTGTCCATACCTCAAGGTTGTAACGACAGTGGAAATCGTCTTTAAAAATAAGGTATGATCGCTTCCTTCGCCCAGAGTTATACAGCTCGTTCTGGATGTATCGATTTCACACGATACAACTGAGTCGGTGAAAGAGTCTTTTCAAACCTTACGCGTGTCCAGCCCCTCTTCTACGTCCCAACAGGTGTTGGGGACCGAGTGGCCACCCAACCCGGATTCCGCAGAGGAACAGGAAGCACGGCCGAAGCTGAGGTGGCTGCTGCAGGGTGTGGCTGTCACCCTGGGTCTCAGGCTCCCGAGCCTGGAGCGCTCGGAACTGGCGCATTGCAGGGAGGCTGCACCTGCTCCTCGCCCAGCTCCGCAGGTGACTTGGCTTCACTGGACCGCAGTCTCCCCGCGCGGTGGAGCTCGCCGGCTCCGCCCACGACTACCATGGTAACCGGACGCCGCGCCTGCCCGTCGGACGGGTTACTCAACCCTCGGCTTCCAAGTGCACTGCAGTCACCTTCCCCGGGGTCCTGCCTCCATCCCTTCAGTTAAGTCGGGGTTTTTGGGTCTGGGTTGAGACAACCCCGTCTCCAGACTACTGAATCGCCGGTGGTGCCCTTCCTGGAGGGTGACGCCGGTCCTTATTCGCCGGCCTTCCTCCAAACCCCGAGGACCGACTAATGCTATCGGCCCGCTGCACCTCCCAAGTCGCCCCATGAGATAGGAAGAGCTCCAGGGACCCTGCACCCACTTGTCTCACCTTCGGCCGTTTGCTGCAAGCTCCTGGCCTCGGACCTAAGGGGAAAGCGAACTGGGCAGTCCCGGAATTAGCTCTTTTCTTTTCTTTCTTTTTTCATTGAGTTGGATGGACTAAAGCAGGCTGCGCAAGAAGCCTTCGTTCCCTGTAACGTTTGATCCCCTAAAATGCAGCTACATATTCAGGAGATTTCCTTGCTCCAGCCCCGGAATTTGCCAAGATTTAAAAGTGGGGCTGAGGAGGGGTAGTTAAAGGCAATAAGTGGGGCGTGGGGTGGGAGGTCCGGGGAACTAGAGATCTTCAAAGTCTAGTCAGCTCTGTCATGTCGCTTCTGCCTCCTCGTGACCGCCACCCTTCTTGTGTCATTTTGCTCATGGTTATTGGTTGCTCTTCCCAGATGATGCTCATGTAACTACAGAGAGACTCCGGAGTTCTTGGAGAAAAGAAGCAGTGCAGCAGCATGGGTCAAAGCCTGGGCTCCGCAGTGGGCAGTGACAGGGCAGGGTACTTAGATATGTCCCCTACTGCAGGGAGTTGACATGAAAATAGATGAGACAATGCGCGCTTGCCCAGACACACAGACACACACACAGACACACACACACACACACACACACACACAATGCTTTGGCGCCTTTTCTGAGCATTGTAAGTACTCAATAAATGAAAGCTAATAAAAATAACAAAAAACATTATTATTTATTGGATCAGAAAAGAGAATGAACAGAGAAAATAAGTCAATTATAAGTTATCAGGAAAGCCAAAATTAGTGCAAGATTTAAGACAACATGAGTAATGACTAGGGGCTTCCTATTAGTTGAGGAAATGGGAATTATACTGGAATGATTTTAGGTGCATAATACTTGGAATTACACTAGTTGCATTTTATGAAATTAAGTAGAAAAGTTCAAGTAGTTAAGTAGTTCATGTCTATGTCACCCTGTTGTATGGGAACTTTTCTTAGCATTATAATAGTAGCACACATTAGTTGCTATACTTAGTGTCTCATCCAATAGAAATAAACCCACTCATCAGGGATCATTTCAACCACCTGGTAGAGTAAATCTTAGAAATTACCAAAAGGATTTTCATCTTATTCCTTTCCTGATTCCTTTTCTTATTCTGTTACCTTTGGTCTTCTGCTATGGTAGCCATTTGCATATTATTAGCTGAAAAGGCATGTTATTAATCTTTGCTGCCCTTGGAAACACAGAACATAGAAGATTCTCAAGTACTTCTTTGATTGAGTACTTTCTATATTATATGTTAAAAATTATTTATTTATACAAAAAAATCAATGGGCTGAGGATGAAGCTCGGTTGGTAAAGTGCTTGCCTATCATGTATGTAGAAGACCTGAGTTTCATCCCCAGCATAGCAAAAAAAAAAAAAAAAAAGTAAAAATAAGAATAAATTTTAAAATAAAAAATGTTTGCCTTAATACGTATTTTTAGAATGTGCTCTAGCAGGGATGCTCTACCACTGAGCTATATCCTCAGTCCTTTTTACTTTATTATGAGACAAGTTCTCACTACATAGGTGTCCAGGCTGGTCTTGAACTTAAGCTCTTCCTGTCTCTGTCTCCTCAGTAGCTAAGATTACAGGTGTGTACCACAGTGCCTGGCTACGAATGTACTTTCATTTATTTATTTATTTTCTTTAAAAATACATAAATTAGCAATTTTATTGAGGTAAACTTATACATTCCAAGAAATGATCTGGCTCTGAAGCAAGATATTCAAACTGCCTAGACTTTTATATCATTTCAAAACCATTATAAAATATTTCAAGTGACACTTTATAAAATTATAAATATAAATCACATATAAATTAACTCAAATCTCATTTAAATTATCAATAAATTAAAAATAATTAATAGTGTCCCAATGCTCATACTGTCAGTTCTTCGTAGAGAACAAGATAAAGTAGGTACCCAGTGGACAGGACATATATTCTGACCATAGGAAGCAATGCCCATGAACCAATAAGCTTAGATGCCCACTATGCTTTCCGAACAGCTCTCAGGGTGAACTGCAGGAAATTCTCAAAGTTGCTCAAGATGAGTTGCATGGTCATGACCTTCTGCCAATCATTCTGTGATGCCAGTTTTGCCAACAGGTGGATATTTGCAGTTGGGCTAGGCAAGACTATTTTATTGGGATCCTTCACCTCTTGTTTCAGAATCTCAATCAGGGCTTTGGAAATGAACTGCACATGTTCAGCTCTGTCCTTGTTTTTGCCTTCCTGAAACTTGTTCAGGATGTACCTAAGGTAGACCTGAAACTCCAGAAGCCCAGAGGTGATTCGAACAAGGCAGTTGTCCCGATTGTATCCAGTTTGGAAGCATCCATCTTTTTCAGTCATCTTTGGAAGGTTCAGATGGTTTTCCGACACTGCCACATGGCTCTTCATACAGGTCTCATCATTCTTGCACAGCTCTTTTCTCATTTCGAAGACTTCCTTGATGAGGTAGGAAATCTGTCCTGCAGTTTTTCCAGAAGAGGCACGTGTTGGTTTATTTCGAATGACACTATTCTCTCCTTTTTCTCTCTTAAATTCTGAGGCGGGGAAGGCAGTAGCCACCACTAGGAGCAGCCCCAAGGAGGCAATTGAGAAGAACTTTATGGCTGTTCCTGGAGGGCAGATGGAGCTCTCTTCCTTTCCTGGTGGGCTCAAGAGCTGAATGTGACGAATGTACTTTTAAAAATGTAAATTTTTCCACTGAATGTTTTCTGCTTCTTTAGATTACTGAACATATAATTTTTAAAAATGCATTGTTTTAAGATATAAATAAACTTTAAGAGCAGTTTTCTTATTATCTATTATTCTTTAAAAAGTATATGAAGTCATCTTTAGACTTTGGTTTGTGATTAAAATTATCTGGTGTAAATAGCAGCTAAAATCATACAGTTATGTCAAAGTTTTTAGTGATATCTTTAAAAGCTTTTATAGACGTTGTCAGCTTGGAAATGTCATCTCCTGGAAACTATAACAAGATGATCTCATACATTCTGAAACATACAAATTTCTTTTTTTGGTTTTGTATGTTCAAACCAAGCTAAAAATAGTCCACAACCACTAACTGAATTGCCTGTAGTAAAGCAACAATCATGCCACATCACATGACCTTTAAACCAGTAGAAAGGGTATTCCTGGTCCACTGAGAAGATAATAAAAAAGACATAAATGATTCTGTGAATTCTTTTTTATTTGTGTGTGTGTGTGTGTGTGTGTGTGTGTGTGTCAGGGGTTGAACTCAGGGACACTCAACCACTGAGTCACATCCCCAGCCCTATTTTGTATTTTATTTAGAGACAGGGTTTCACTGACTAGCTCAGTGACTTGGCTATTCCTGAGACTGACTTTGAACTCATGATCCTCCTGCCTCAGCCTCCTGAGCTGCTTGGATGATAGGCAAGCACCACCGCACCTAGATTAATTCTGTGAATTCTATATGCATCCAAACTTACAGAAACTTCTCAGCAGTTGTGAATCTGTCAACACACCCACAGATAATTAGAATCCTAAAGCACATTCAAAAGTTAACTTATGGATTAAAGGATTTTCACCTCTTCCCAGCCTGGAATATGAAGGCATGTGAAATAAAAACTTCCTATCATTCATGGCACTGTTCATTTTTATATTTTCTGGAAAATGATAATGTTGTTCTTAACAAGAAATAATAATTTCTCACTAATTTTCTATTCAAATTACCAGAAATATTAGCATTATGGAATAATGCCATCTAAAAGTTATCTGTTTATCCCTAAACAACAAACTTATAAATACATGCACATTTTACTTTTATGACATGTACAGAGTATTTACAAATCAGTCCTTAGCCAAGAACCTAGAATTTTTCTTTTTAGATTCCTAAGAATACAGCTTCCCAATGAATACAAAAAAAAAAAAAGTGATAAGTTTATACTGATCAAAATTGATCAATTTCTTGATGGCTTTTAAAAAATCTTATCCAAGAATAATGTTTCCTTTAACTGCTCATTTCTCTTTGTTTTGATCTCTATCATTGCATACTGGTTCCCCCCCCACCATTTCCTATTATTCACAGATTTCTGCTTAAAGGCTAAAATAGGGCACCGAAAAAATATATCGAAAGTTCTGGGCTTATAGGTGACACTTTTTTATTCTGGAGACCCCAAGAATAATTATTTTTTAAAAGACCACTACTTTCCAGCACTCAATTATGTACACATGAGATGCCCAGTTTTCTGTCATGATGACAGGAAGAGGACTTGAGATTTCAAATTTAATATAATGTTCTTTCATTTAATCGCTCTGTAGTACAAACAGCATCCTCACCTTAAGCCTGCTTGATGTCATCTCATCCGAAGATTCTTTTTACTCCAAAAATAAACAACTAGTCATGCTCCCGTGCGCAAAGGGTCTGATGGAATCTCAGTGTTTAATTTCTTTTTAAACTAACTTTGGATGGGCTTCAGTGCTCATGCCTGTAATTCCAGCAACTCGGGAGACTGAGGCAGGGGGATTACAAGTTTGAGGCCACCCTAACAATTTAGTGAGGTCCTATGCAAGTTAGCAAGACCCTGTCTCAAAATGGAAAATAGAAAGGGGCTGGGGCTGGGGCTCAGTGGCCAGCGCTCGCCTGGCATATGTGAGGCACGGGGTTCGATTCTCAGCACCACATAAGAATAAAATAAAGGTATTGTGTCCACCTACAACTAAAAAAATACATATTTTTTAAAAATAAAAAGGGCTTGGGCTAAGTGGTAAAGTTCCCCTAGGTTCAGTCCCCAGTACCAAAATAAATAATCTAATAACTAACTTTAAAAGAATCCCTGTTTTTAACCTCGTCTTTATCCCATTCTCAAAGGTCCTGATACTGTGAAATCCTAAAACTCTTGGAAGGTTCATTTTGACCTCTGCTGGCTTAGAATTCAGCTTTCCTGTGTATATTCATTCAGCAAATTCTCATCTATTGCCTTTGCAGGTCCCCACATTTCAATATTGTCTTTTTTTCCTGTCATCTTTGCCCTTGTCCCTTGAGGCCTTTAAAAAAAAAATAATCCACTTACTTGTAATCAAAGTTTTCAGGAAGCATAGAGGTAAATGGATGTATTTAATTCTCCCTCCTGTTTCCAGAAATTAGGGTAAAATCTTCTCATTCATGTATAAATTTGAAGAGTCTAGCCTTATGCACTCAGAGGCTGAGGTGGCAGATTGCTTGAGTAAAGGAGTGTCAGCCCAGCTTAGGGAACATAATGAGACCCCCTTCTCCAAAAAAATTATTAAATTAATTTAAAAATAAAATCTTGAGAAGGGGCTGGGGGCATGCTTTAACAAAGTAGTGGTTAGCAT